TTGTTCTTGTTGTTGTTCTTGTTGCTTGTTGTTCTTGTTGCTGTTGTTGTTGTTGGTCCTGTTACTGTTGCTGTTGCTGTTGCCGTGGCTGCTGCTGTTGTTGTTGTTGCTGCTGTTGCTGTTGCTGTTGCTGTTGTTGTCGCTGTTGCTGTTGCTGTCGCTGACGCTGTCGCTGTCGCTGTCGCTGTCGCTGTCGCTGCTGCTGCTGCTGTTGCTGTTGCTGTTGCTGTTGCTGTTGCTGTTGCTGTTGCTGTTGCTGTTGTTGGTCTTCTTCTTGTGGTTGTTGTTGTTGTTGCTGTTCTTGTTCTTGCTCTTGTTCTTGGTGTTGGTGTTGGTGTTGTTGTTGCTGTTGCTGTTGCTGTTGCTGTTGCTGTTGTTGTTGGTTGTGGGTTGGGTTGTTGGTTGTTGGTTGTTAGTTGTTGGTTGTTGGTTGGTGGTTGTTGGTTGTTGGTTGTTGGTTGTTGGTTGTTGGTTGTTGGTTGTTGGTTGTGGGTTGTGGGTTGTGGGTTGTGGTTGTGGTTGTGGTTGTTCTTGTTGTTCTTGTTGTTCTTGTTGTTCTTGTTGTTCTTGTTGTTCTTGTTGTTGTTGTTGCTGTTGCTGCTGCTGTTGTTGTTGTTCCCTCAGACCGGCCGTTGAGCCGCGCTTGACCCGTTCCCAATTCACTGCAAATACTATGCAAACTTGCTTTTCTGCTTAAAAAAACACTGCAGAACGCGACAGATCGAGGCAGTGCCGCGCACAGACCGGAAACGCCCACAATTCACCGTAAATACCATGCAAAATTGGTTCCCCGCTCAAAAAGCGCTGCAAAACGCGGCAGATCGAGGCAGTACTGTATCCATGCCAGGCACACATGGTGCAAGCAACACCCAGGTTGAAGTGCACCCGCTCAGCACTGTATCCATCCCAGGCACATGGTAAGAACACCCGTTCAAGTTCACCCGCTCAGCACTGTATCCATGCCTGCCAAATGGTAAGAACCCACGCTCAAGTGCACCCGTTCAGCACTGCATCCATGCCTGCCAAATGGTAAGAACACCCGTTCAAGTGCACCCGCTTAGCACTGTATCCATGCCACGCACATGATAAGAACACCCGTTCAAGTGCACCCGCTCAGCACTGTATCCATGCCAGGCACATGGTAAGAACACCCATCAGGTGCTTGGGTCAGCACACCATCCATGCCAGGGTATGGTAAGGCGGACATTCAAGTGCACCCGCTTAGCGTTGGTCCATGGCAGGCACATGGTAAGAACACCCGTTCAAGTGCACCCTGCATGGCACTGTATCATGCCATTCACATGGTAAGAACACCCGTTCAAGTGCTGGGACAGCATGCATGCCGCATTAAAAACACCCGTTCAAGTGCACCCGGAAACCCATGGGGAGCTGTTGAAACCAGCTCGAGGAAGCCCCGGTATCCGCAGCCCCGGAACCCAACCGGAGCTCCGAGTTGCTGCCCCAAACCACCCCATGTCTCGGCCTCTTTGGGCCAACAAAAGCACATAAGTGTTCAGCAACAAGAAGGCCAGAGGTGAGTTTTTACCAGTATATGGACCGGGTTTCGAGTCGCTTTCCATTTTCCAGGATCGGGGGGTGTGACCCCCAGCTTTGACCAAAATAAAACAGCTCCCAGCTGGGCGGTTTGGAGCGGTCGACCCGGCGACCCGGCGAGATCCCAGGAAGTCCAAGCCAGGGGAGCCAGCCTGGGAGAGCAAGTGGGGTCCAGGCAGACCAGGCGCTTCGAGCTTCGCCTGCCTGTGGCGTAAGGGGGGGGCCTGGCGGAGATACCAAGATCTTGAGATGTTGGCGAGAATCCGGAAGATATCTTAGAGATAATAGAGGTTTCTCTCTTTTGTGGTGTCCCACTTGGGATTGACGATTGCATTGCGAACCAGCTTTTGGGTTGCATTTCCCCAGGCTGGTGAAGAGGGCAAGCCGACCTCAGGGCAATTCACAAATTTTCAGGAGGAGCTTCCGCTGCATATACGACAGCTGACATGCCGCCCTCTATTTTTTTGCCGCAGGTTGGCACATCGAGTGCTCGGTCATGGCCACTGACATCAATGGCGAGTACCTCGACATCCACGCCGGAGGCCAGAGGACTGTTGTCAGCCCATTTTGGACAAAAGAGGAGCGCATCTCCGCAAATTCTGTAGTAAGGCGGATGGCTCAGCCAGAAAAGAGAGCTCACTTGCTCAAAGCGAGATCGATCTTTTGAGCGTTTAAATGTTGGGCAACTGAGTTTGTGTTTGCTGGCAGCTTGAGGCTTTGACTTGAGGCTTGGGTGCCTGGCTCAGGCGAGGATCTCAAGTTCCCGCCGCTTGGCCCGGTGCGAGCGGCACGCGGTGTTTGTTTGGGGCGGTTGTTCGTGATGGCCAGTTTTATTTGGAAATCCAAGCATGGCCCGGGCAGCGTTCTGCTTGGGTCCAAATGCAACTCAAAGGAAACAACTTGCAAACCGGCGGGCTGCGCCGTGTTGAAGCGATTGCAGCTTTGC